CACGATGGCACAGTTCATTTGTGTGAGCGACATGACAGATGTCCTTACAGACATCAGATTGGATGGTGTCTGCTAACACATCTAATGGGAAAAAAGAAAAGAGAATTCGAAGGATTATCCTTTTTTTTTTTTAAGGATTAAATTTATGCCATTTAGCTGTTTGATCCCCTGGAGTTAATGCTGCTTTATTAGAAGCCTATACAATTCTTCACATGGGTGTCAAAATAATTTCGGTGAAAATGCTGTTGTGTGGACTCATCGAGCTGAAGTGTTCGTCTTGTGATTACAGATGGGTTATTGTCTGTGTTGTTCCACTTTCTTCCAGCCCTTTTGCTGGATGAGCTGGACTTAACGATCTCTTTAAATTCACTTTGGCACTTCACACAGTTAGACAGGCCACGGACACGATGGTCTTTAATAATTTGTTTTTTTAATTCTGCAACGCTGCTTTTTAATTGATGTCCTTCATAAGTCGTATTTGCCAAAGCTGTGATTACTCATCAAGCGGTAGAAGCCAATCCACCTCCCAAGTACAATGAAGATGTTCTTTTGTGAAATTATTAAGATGCAGAAGTTTGCCACGCAGAGTGATTCCGTTCTGCCTTATAATGATATCTTTTGGGATTATACCTTTGGACATCGCAGCCTTTTGAGCCTATCGAAGTGGGAAGGACTGATCGTCACCAGTGCACCGCACAAATGCCCCTCCTTCTCAGTGAACGTTAGAACGGTTGGAATCGGCTGCTTTCTTTTGTAATGTTTTTATATGCTCTTCAGAGGAGTTAACTCTGTTTCACCTGATGTTCATTTAGTTCATGTGTAATATTTTGTTTTGACTCTTCAGATCGCAAAGAAGACCCTTCTGTGATTGAGCAGGGGATCTTTGAAGGAACATCAGTGGAGAGTTACTAGAGTGGAAATAGCCAATTAGGGTAGCTTAGCATGCATAATCTAGAAATTCTTATTTAATTGATTCACAAAATGCGTACACTTTTCCATGGTGCAAAATTAGGTTATTAACTTTGATAAAGAGGGTCCAGGGAAAAGAATATTGTCAAGAGAGGGTTCGGAACGGGGTTTCCCAAAGTGTGTTCCCACAGAGTATTGTAGGAGAAGGCAAAAGGAAGTGTTCTACAGCAGATTTTTTTGGGGGGGGAGGCGGAGTTTACTGACTCCCACTTAAAGAAAAATGTAAGCTCCGTCCAAGCAGGAACCTTGTCATCAGTTTAACCTTTGTCTCCAGTGCCTAGCACAATGTCTTGCACATAGTAGGCACATTTATATTTGCTGAAGAATGAACTGCAGGACTTCTCAGAGCCTTTAATTTTGTAGCAAGCATTGTGACTCTGGTCTGAGGACAGTGGTCTGCAGCCTTTGACAGACTTACTGGGTTGCCGAGCCCTTTCCTTAAGGAGCATTTCACCAGACATTAGTACCTTGAAATGCCCTCTGGGAAATTCTAGCTGTAAGATTGATAAAAATAAAGTTTTAAAATTGAATTGATCACTGAGTAAAATATTCAGGTTTTTTGTGGATACTGGATTATAAATGATACACATTGTGAAGCCGGAGGGATGTCAGTCTTTCGTATTTGTATCTGATTTGAGGCACGTAGCCTGACCGTTAGAAGCCTCAGTCTGTTCATCTATGAAATGGGGATGGTAATTATGTTTATCTGACTGGTTGTCGGGAAAATAAATTACATTTAGTCGCCCTTCAAAAAGTTAAATAATGTATGTAGAAGGCTTCATTGGGTAAACCCTATTATTATGATTATCATCATCCTCATTATCACTCTCATCATAAAAACATAAGTGATAAAATTACTCCAGTGACGATGAGTGATTTTGAGACAATAGAGTTAAAATGTGATTCCCCCTTCCTTCCCTTCAACAGATATTGGAGTGATTGTGATACTCCAGGTGGCCTTAGTTCTGAGGGAGGACCGTGGTGAGCACAGTTAAAGCCCTTACTTCCTGGAGCTAATGGGCCTAGGGTTTTTTGTTGTTGTTGTTGTTGTTTTTAATAATTCATTGTGTTTACCGATGCCACCGGCTCTTAGAACATAAAGTAAATTTAACCGTACACAATTCGGCTGAAGTTAATTGTTCTGAGGTCATTATATCAGAGATCTGCCCCCAAAGGATCACTTTTTCTTTTGAATCTGTTCTCACACAAACAAGTAAAGGCGGATTCGTAGGTCACATTTTAAAATAAACAAAATTAACTTAGCATTAGTAGATAAGGCATGTCAAATGGATCAGGGTGGCCCCGACAGGAGGGCGGCCAGATTTATCAAATAAAGATGCACGACATCAAGTTAAATTTGAATCGCAGATAAGTAAAGAATACTTTTTTTAGTATAAGTATATCCCAAATAGGGCACGGGACGTACTTATACTAAAAAAAAAAATTTAAAAAAAGTTGTTTATCTGAAAGTCAGATTTAGCTGGGCGTCCTGTGCTTTAGTTGACTACCCCAGCGCTCTGTTTTACCCCTATTCTTAGAAACCTCTGCTTCTGTTTGAAATGATTTATAACTGTTTCTGCCTGATCACCAAGTGTTTCCAAATTGAAAGCCATTCATTACGGCCTCATACAGAGAGACAGAAGGTAAGCAAGGACTGCTTTGTGAGTCCAGCTCGGTACTTCAGGTGAGAGCTTTTCAAGTTACGTGAACCACTGAGCCACCTGCCCGACTCAACGCTGTACCGCCGTCCTGTGGTCGTGCGGCTCTTCGTCGCTTGCCGTGCGGGCGTTGTTACTGATTTTTCTCATTTCTCCAGGGCAAGTACTAATTAATGGATACAATTCACAGCTGATTAGCTGTAGTTTCTTCAGTAATTACATTCGCATACTAACTGTTCAGAAGAGGATTTCTAACCCAGTTCTTATTTCACTCCGAGCTTAATTTGTTTTTTGAATTGTTTAGGCCCTTAGTTTAATAGCCATTTTATTTTTCTTTGTTGTTTTAGGTGCTATTAGATAATAAGTGAGTTTAATCTTAAAAAAAAAAAATACTCTGTGATAATGAGCTGTTTGCCTTAAATGGATTTCTAATTCCCCAACAAAACCTGCATTTAAATAACGGTGAAGTTGAGATACAGGCTGCCACGTGGTGTGGGGAGCCAGGATTGGTGCGTGGAATACGCATCGTGACCCAAGTCCTCATAAATATTTATAAAGTACATGCGGAATGGAGGCCTGAGATTTAAATTGTAGGATCATTAATTCATCGAAAAGTCCAAGACAGAACCCTATACCATTTCTTGTATGTATTTAACATTGTAGAGACTTGGGAAAAATATGGTTGTGTGTGTGTGTGTGCATGTGAGTGCATGAGCACCGGCTCACTCGTTTTAAGTTTTACATTATTTTTAAACCGCTTTATGGCGGTATGATGGACACACAAAGACCTGTACGTAGCTAATGTATACAACTCGATAGTTTGGAGATAAGTATACGTTTGAAACCATCACCATGTGCTTTTGATATCACTTGCCTTCAGAGAAACCAGATAAAGGTCTTTCTTAAGTGCTAACAAATACATCTTTCAGAAATCCTCGTAAAGATATTTATCCAAATGAATCTGAGGGCTCATTGTGCGAGTGTGTATTGAGGTGTCGCTTTGCAGAGTGGGATTTTGCTTCTGTGGACCGTAACAGCGCTCAGAGACTGTTCGAGTCTTTCGTATAAATCCTGCTTAGTTCTCGGAGCCCTGACGTGATAAAGTGTACCATGTCAATCCTGCTTCTCGAGTCCTACAGGTTCTTTGTCGGGCTGAGAGCCCCCCGGAAATGTGTGGGTGGGTTTATTGAGAGGATTTATGTGGATCTCCCATATCTATGTGCCAGGATCTATATTCTATCCTATATATGTGTCTGTTTCTCTTTTGGGGGGAAAATCGTGCCTTCTACTTTAAATATTAACTCTATTTATGTTAGCGAATGGATATATACAATTCATCCATTAGAGACCAAACCTATGTGTCATTTGATGCATTAAAGGAAGGAAATCATAGACCTTAGAAAAAAGAGGGCATTCTTTTACCATTTAAAAATCATGAAAATAATAAAAGTCCAGATAATTATGTTCACGGAGCCTTTCCATATTGCCGGACCGATAACAGAATGTTGAAAGCAACCAAAACGTGCCTACTTATACCATCCAAACCCGAAAATGCATTTTCTGCCCAAATCTAAGTTTTACATTTTGATAACAGGTCTCATGAAGTAAAGAGCTTATGTCTGAGATGCTGATACAGTCTTATTCGTGATGGTATGAATGGCCTATTGTGTTAGGGGATTAAACGAAAATTGCCATGTTCATAGGATCTCACTTATTTTTTAAACCTCTTTGCACTTAATGTTACATTGAGAGATTAAATATCACTATTTTCAACAGCTCTGATGGATATAGATATCATTTTAAACTCTGGAGATTTAAAAAAAATATTCTTTGGTCTTATTATTTATTTATATTCACGCCACACCCCATTCACTAGAAAATGGAATCCGCGTCCTGGGAATTGGATTCTGTTCCATTTAATTCACATTTTAACCTACCCACACTTGTGACATCTGTTCTTGAAAAGTAAGCTATGAAATCCCAACATGCTTTAAAAATGTGTCAAGGTGATTTTGGGGGGGGGACACTCTTCTAACCTCTGACAAATGCCACGTCAGTCAACAACACCCACTAGTGACCCATTGGCCAAATGTTTGTAATTGTCTCCCTTTGTCATTAGTCTCAATGAGAAACACTATTTTCTGGAATTATCGAGGTAGCTTAACTCTGTGCTTTATTTTTCTGAGGGGAACCAGCCGACAACATAGTATGTATAGCATGATGCTTTGAAACCTGTCACGGTTCTCAGTAAAATCACTCTTTTATCTCTTAACACCAGCATTCTTTCCAAATCCCATGAAATATTAAGTAAACCACCAGAATTCTTTATTATGCTGCATGGTAACCTAAAACAATCTGTTTTCTTTCAGTTTGCAAATAACAATAACTACATGAATATGGCTGAGGCAAACAACGCTTTCTTTGCAGCCAGTGAGGTAAGTCTGTCTTGACGTGTCTGTTCACGTTTTGTGTGTGATTTAGACCATTTAAAAGGCTTGACATAGGGCTGAGAATATCAAATTTATCTCTTATGTGGCATAAGGTAACAATTTTGGAGGAGAAATTAGAAAAAAAAAACCTATTGGAGATAAAATAATCTGGTAGGTGCTTGTCCATAGGCTGTTATGAACGATAGTAATTAACACACATCTCTTGACGAAAAGAATCACACATGCAAACAAAAGTAAATGTATAAGAAAGTCTATAATATCTATCCAAACTATATTAGTATCTAAGCAAATAAGTGGTTATTTTGGAACCTAGCTTGTAAGTTCAAATAGAAAATATTTGAACTTCGCATAACTCTGGGGATAATTTCGTTAAAGTCGCCATGGTTTGAGAAACGACTGGGCAGAAGAGTGTTATAGTTTCTTGGGTCTTCGATGGAAGTGATGTGAAATGAGTGTTTTGGTTTTTGTTAGATCCACACAGCTGAGTGCCTAGCACATAGTAGGTGCTCAATAACTGTTGAATGAGTGAATGAATGAATGAATGAATGAGTAGGCATTCTTTAAGACGTAGGCATTGCTGGGAAAACTGAGTGATGGAATGTAAAGGCAGCACCATGTTGGCCTTGGGTTTGTCTACAGTTTTTCGGAGCAAATGGGAACGAACACCTTCTCGTTGCTATTTTTTCTGAATTTCTTACTCGTTGACATAGGGCTGTTGTCTGGGCTCATGGGGCCTGCCCTCCGGGAAAACCTCGATCTTGATTCGATCAAGAAAATGGTTTCCTAAAAATGGTAGACTGTGTGAGATCTAAGATTTTAAAACAAGAACAAACAGAACTGAAATTGGTCCAAATGGAGCATTTCCTCTTGGCGGTCTCTGCGATAAAAAAATCTTCATCTTGCAAAATACATTCAAATACAGGAAACTGAACTAGCTTGACCCCAGAGAGTCAAAATCCTAATGGCTTCGTAAATGATCTTGGTACGGGGGAGGCAAGCAGTATGGAAGAAATTAACGTCGAGAAATTATTAGGGAAAAAAATGAGGAATCTAGAATTAAGGGTATTCATAGATCAATCATTTTTACAGTGACCATCATCTCTCTAACCAAGAAGACAGCCTAGATAAGGGAAAATTGTTTGGCACTGGCTGCTGTGTTGTTTGTGATAATGAACACAAACCCCATCTGTAAGGACAACATGATGTTTCATTCTGTAGGGCTTTTTTTTCCCCTACATTTGAATCAAACATTGATGAAAGCTCTACTGCCAGCAGCTGCTCAGAGACAATTTAATTCCAGCTGTGATAATTCACCGTGTCAGACATTGGCTGTTATATGTTGATACAACAGTTCTCCAGATTTGCATTTTTATCAAAAGGAACAAATGTTTTGAACATTTCAGTACAGATGGTATTTAACCATGTACACACTACTTTAACATGTTCAAGGCAAACACCGAAAAGTCAATATCTGTAAGAAGTAATCATAGAAACTCTAAATGATTAATCCGATGTTGGTCATATGGCGTAGTGTGCAGAAGTCAATATATTTTTTTGTTGGTGCCGTACATGGTTATTTTTATAAAAATCTCAACTAGCCAGTGTTTTGGGTACTTTTTTCTCCAAGGTATTTCTAAACTTTATATTTAACATACTACCTCTCTTTAAAAGTGGTTTAAGATTTTAGCATTTCCTTGGTTAGATATTGTAATAGAATTTTATTGTATTGTTTTATTAGGTTATGATATAATAATATACTAAATGCTAATTAAAATTAATTTGTCTCTTAAAAAATTATACTGTAGGGACATATTATATATAAGATAGCTCCTTTATTCCTTAACACAAGTAAAAATGAAAACCCCCTTCGTTTGGACTGCCTAGCATAAGCTGTTTTTTTTTTGTTTTTGTTTTTAAGTTTAAGAGGAATTCTAGTATAATGATTTCGCTGTACGTCTTTTTTTTTTTAACAAAAAACAAAGCCCAAATTAATGTTACTGTACCACATTATAGCATGTGCCTGATTTCCCAATCACTGCATTAAAAGTGAACTTGTTGGTTTTTTTGTTTGTTTGTTTGTTTGTGGGTTTGTTGTTGTTGTTTTTTTTAACATTTTAATGAGTGCGAACTAATGCAGGAAGACTGGAGGTTTGATGCTGTGTAGTCGACAATGTGCCGGAAACCATTCTCCTCCCCATAGATATTGCCCTATAGATAACACGATGAGAACTGGGATGCTCCGAGTTTGAAATTCACACGTTTGCTTTGTGTTTTCTGTCTGTGTCATGATTACCCTGACCATTTTTTAAAGTACTTTAAATATTTATTGAAATAATATTTCAAGTGTTAATTACAGTGGTAATGAAAACAGCCAAATGCCACATATCAAGAATGAGTGTTTATCCGTATTGTTAATGTGATATGTTAGATTTCATTAAGCAGTAATGGGGTAGCAAATGAGTCACAAATTACAGTTGCATCTGTTACTAGACCACATTAGTGCCAAAATAACAGCAAATGCAGCCATAGGGTTACGTTCATTAGCCAGCCACGTTTGCAGCCAATCCATCCCTTTGTGTTTGAGAACTCAGGGTACCGCAGTAAGAAATCAACACCTTTTGGGGGTCATTATTAGAATAAATATGTCAGAAAATCGAATATTTCATTCTAGCTTTTAAATGTGTTATTGGGCTGTAATGTTTTGCATATCCTGAGCCTGCTAAGAATCTCAAGATGTTAATTCAGTTGTCCGCCATGGACTCCCATAGCTTGTGACCTCTTTATTTCTAGTGAGATAAAAATAACAGTTGACAGTTTCTGTATGCGAGAAAATGTTTTTGGTTTTTTTTTTTCCTTCAGTTTGTTTCTGTTTTCTCTCAGGTGGTTGTTAAATTATATCATCAATTGCTAGTTTGAAGGATGATGATTTCCAGCTCTAAATTCGTTGTCTTGACTGTTATAAAAATTCAAATTATCTTGCACTAGTTCATTCTTCAAAAAATATTCCTATGAATGAATGAACTATAATTTGGACCCTCTGAGCTGGAAATAAGAAATATTCTCCAACCGCTTCACCCTACCAAGAATAATATCCTAGATCCTGACCCCCCCAAATCCAAGTTCTAGCTTAAGAAAGATGGTTAGTGGGGTTGAACAAGGAAGCCCTGATTTACATCACAAGGCTGTATTTTGAAATATTGTCTTTGAGAATCTTAAGTAGCAGTGAAGAAAAGTACGTTATTTACTCTGATAAGTGAGCAGTATCAATGGAACTAGTATCATCTATGTCAGTGTATCTCTGTGCTCGTTCTGCAGTCTTTAAAAGTTGAGGACTGTCAGAAAAATATTCTGATAAATACTTATCAGAATCTTTATATGAAAGAAAATAACTTCTTATAGTTTAAAAAAAAAGCCCTAGAACCCATGCCTATATGCTCCGATAGGCCTTATATAAAATGTATTACAAACAGGAACACTTTCCCTAGAAGCATTCAACACACTTGGGAATATACCAGTAAGGAAATTTAAGAAGCAAACCACAAATTTAATATGACTTGTTTTATATGTTGTGACAGAAAGTAAATATGTGTAATGTTCACTTCTGGATTAATGCGTATGTGCACTAAAAACCGTCAGCATTTTATGAAGCATGTGGATAATGTAAGCGGTTTGAGCTGTTTCACTCACATATCAATAAAGTGGCAATTTGTTATATAGCCAAATCTAATGTCGCTGATGCTCCCACTAACAACAAAGACAGATGTTGCTAATTAAGTACGCATTAAAAAACTGTTAATACTGATACTCCATTAAAACCATATGATAATGAGACTTAAATCTTTAATCAGAATGATCAGCAAAACTTTATATATGGAAATCTGGGTTTAAGATGTTTTCATTGGAGAGATAAATATTTGGCCTAGCTATGTCGTATTTTCATGCAAAATCTTTCTTTTTCCCTCCAGGGAGAAATAAGATATAGGAACAGACTATGAAGATATCTGTATTTTGTTTCCTTCTAGCAGACATTCCATACGCCAAGCCTCGGGGACGAGGAGTTCGAAATCCCCCCGATCACGCCTCCTCCAGAGTCAGAGCCCGCCCTGGGCATGCCGGATGTGCTTCTCCCCTTTCAAGGCCTCGGCGACCCGGTGCCTTCCCAGGGAAGTGAATTCACACCCCAGTTTCCCCCACAGAGCCTGGATCTTCCTTCCATTACAATCTCAAGAAATCTCGTGGAACAAGATGGCGTGCTTCATAGCAGTGGGTTACATATGGTAGGCAGCCAATTGATTGCTTGGGAGTTTCTTTTTATCCTTCGCTCTTCTCGCGGTGACGATCTGAGAGCCCGTGTTCTGAACGTACGTGCTCCTGCCTAGCTGCCGGTGGACATGGGTGTTGTGCTTCCTGGTGCTGCACGAACGCAGGTGCTAGATCACGCCTTGGTGTTGGATAAGAGGGTGTTGCGTTGGTTGATAGTTACGTGAAAGAGGATGACCCAACAAGATCTTTGTGATCTGAAACGATTTTTAAGGAGTCTGATTCATTGCTTTAGAAACAGCCAGTCTTCCCTTGCCTTTGGTTCAACCAAGGGGTGTACTTGAGTTGAAAGTTCAAGGTGAGATTTTAGAGATGGAAGCTCTTATCAGGTGCCTAGGTCTTTGGCATTTGTTGGATTATGACATAACATTTATGATACACGATCTGCCACTACCTCAAAGGAAATAACGAACTGTGATACAGAGACAGGGAGAAAAAAATGATTGCTCAGAACCAGCAGAGGAAAATCGAGAGTGGCTTATGGTGTGGAATATACCTAATTGTCTTATTTATTGTCATCGACATCCAATAAGGCACTCCAGAGAGCCAAGTTTACTAATGCAATAATTTTAGTTCTCTTTTTCTTAGTGTGCAATTATAGTCAGCAATCACCAGAGTAAATCCTCTTAAGTATTTTAAAGTCTTCTGCTGGGATTGTTTTGTTTTTCCACCATAGTCTGTAAAGCATGCACGTCTATCTAGGTGAGGTACTAAGCAGACATTTTAAAACGAGATTAATAGTTTATAGGGCTTTCTTTCTTTCTTTTTTTTTTTTAACCCCGATAAAATGAAACAGATGTGTTGGTATAACAAAAAACAAATCCTGTTGCTTGTTTACATATTTCTCTGCACATTAGGCCATGCCAGTGGTGTTTACCGATTTCATTGTTAATTTCCCCGATGACAGCAGACGATTGCAAAATATGTAGCGGATTCGCAGTGCAGAGATTCTGCGCGCTCTCTGAAATATAAGATTGCTTTCCCAAATAAGATTGCGGCAACATAATTTTCTTTGCCTGTGATCTTTTGTGTTTGAGCTGAATATCAAGGTTTTTTTTATTTTTACTTTTTTGTTGGAAAAGAATGCAGTCAACGGTCGGGAAAGGGTCATTAAGTATTCATAAACGTTCCCCGCCATCACAAATAATTGTTTCCTGTGGACTTTCTTACATTTTTGTCCCTTTGACACTGGACGGGAGGGTTCTGTATCTGTTGCTCTACGATCATGCTCGTGGTGTTGTGCCTGGAAAAATAATAAAAATAAAAAGGGTGTTTAGTCACCAAGGGAGTTTGCCAGGGTTCACCATTATTCATAGATGCTCGATGAGGCTCATTAAAGTTGTGGAAATAGTTAAAAGACCATACAATGCGCGCTAGAATGTGTACTTTATTAAATTGGTAAATATTTATTAATAATATAAGAATCTGCCTTTAAATTAAACATCTGATGAATTACCTTGCCTTAAAGCTATAAAACTGTTATTGCTGCTATAAAAAAGTGTAAAGGAGGCATTTTGACTATGAAATTTCATTTCATGGTCAATTGAATTTACTATATTGGAAAGAACTAAAGATGGAATCATAAAATAATTATGATATTCACATACACTTAAAGAACAATGCTTTCACGGACTGGCTTTGGGAGAGAGGACTCAATTTTTAATGCTGCTTTTGTAATGTATTGCTAATCACTAAAGCAGTTGAATTATTTCATTGATTTTTAAAAGTATAAGTACTTAAGCTAAGTGCAGGCTGTCATCATGGTATTAAATGTGGATCTCATCACATTTATTGGTGCCTTTCTGAAGTTTTGCTAACCCCGAATGATATTTATTTTGGCTCGAAACAACCTCATCTTGTTGAAAATTCTAGTAGAATTTCACCTTGAAGAAATGTCATGGGATTTTAAATCACAAATGTTGGAAAAAATAAAATGTACTAGGACAGAATTATGATGAATACAATGTGTCGTTGGCTTTGTTCTATGTACTACCTGCCATGTTCACCTATAAACTTGAATTCAGAATCGCCAGAGGCATGGTTAAAAATAGGCTATGTCAAGGTTCTTCTATATCTCCCTCTGGGCACCGAGTTGGCTGGCTACGTCGTAATACTCCATGGCAGCTCCTTGGAGTGTTCCCTCAGGAAGGTCATCAGGAAAATAATAAATAATACTTTATACATCATGCATTCGGCGTCTCTGTGTGCATGGATATTTCATACCTTATGCAAGTAAGAAGTTTTATTTTCCAAATGAATATGGCTGGCCGTGAAGGATTGCTATGGTGAATTAAGACTATCGCATAAGGAAAAAAAAAAAGCCAGCTTGTTTATGTTGTATCGAACCAGCTTTTCTTCAGAGTTTCATTGGTTTTCCTTTAGAGTGACAGTTTGTCACATTACTGATGAGCTGCATTTTTGTTGGCAACAAGCGCGATATGTTTATCTTCCTTAAATTTATGCCATTATATTTAAAAACAGAAAGGAGGAACAAAAAGGGGGGATTAAAACGAGACCCATGATTAGCATTCACATTTCAAAATATGCAAATAATGCTCTCGTATTCAAAAGCGAGTTGTTGAAAAATTGAAAGTGGGTGTGTTTGTGACTTCAAAGAACAGCCTCGATTTGCTTGTTGTGCATACGTGTCTTTTAAAGCAGTATGTGGTTGGCAAGTAGACATCAACAGTATATTCTGGTTAAAAATGCCTTACCTCTAAGCATTATTGTCAGTCCAGGTGATCATCTGGAAATTATTTTAATCTACAGAAGATTGCAATCCGAAAAATCTACAACGCGCGTGCCGAAGGGTTTTTTTTTTTCTTTTTTTAACACCTCTCTATAATCTGCTCAGCAAGTAGCACTGACATCAGTAGTACATCAATTTCAGAAAGTGGATTATTTTTACTAGACAGCTATTGTGACATATTGGGTCAGTCATAAATGAAAGATATTCATGCAAGCATGCAATACTTGTAATGAAGTCTCACTCTGACCTTCTGTATGATTGATTCTGTAATTTAGTTTTCTCAGGCAGTGCCTGAAATGAAATGAAATCATGTTGAACAAGTTTTGAATACCCACAGTGCACCAGGAGAAGAAAAATCTGCAGCCCCAGAGGCTTGAGACAGAGCAGCTGAACGATTTATCTCTATGCTATTATAGCCTTTGCCAGCATTCAACATTCTTTTTTTTTTTTTTTTTTTCTTATTTGGCTTAAGTACTTAATTCTGCAGGTAGCTGTAAATGGGAAAATAAAATGCTGTTCAGATTTAAAATGACAGGACAGGAGTTTGTGCAGGGGACTGATAAAATATCTTGAATAGAACTGACCTTTCATGTAGCTGGAAGTTACTGGGGGATTCATCCTCATAATTACCATATAGATTATTTTTATTTCTTTCCTGCAATGAAACATTTCAGAGAGCAGTAGTGCTGATTGAATGGAAATTGAACTTGTTAACATTCTTTTCAGCTTAGCCTGTTGTACATAACAGAAGGTTAGCTTTGATGAATTTCAAAATTCTCTTTGATATCCAAGAAACAGACAGTAAAATAATTGTCTCCAGTCCGATATTTTGTATGCCCCCCAGAAAGAGAATTTATAAAACACACTGATAATTCACATACTTTTTCTTCGTACGTTATAGTTCGTGTTTAGAGGACTGACCTGTTCTGTTTGATATGTTTTGGATTTAATTGGGATAGCATGTATTTATCGAAAATGCTACACTGGTCCTCTAGAAATGTCAAACATAGTATTAGAAAATTGAAAAAGATGGAAGTAAGGAAGGGCTATTTAAGTATGGTAGTCTCTGTACCTGTTAAGGAAGGAGAAAAAGAGAGAACAATGTCCCATAGCAGATAAGCATGCAGCGAAGCAAATTACAAGCTTCTAAAATATTCATAAGACTCATAAGTCATCATCTAGACAGATGTCATTTTTGACCAGAAAAAAAAAAAGGGAATATATAAAAATAACACGTCTAAAATCACCAGGCTTATGTTAGAAGTTTTGTTTTTTTTTTTATACGATCATTTGGTATGGCTCTAATTTTGAAGTTGAATCATTTTTGTTTTTGTAAAATGACTGGCATGCCATTTGTATACTTTTTAAAATCTTGCATTAAGAGAACTAGCAGACTTTCAATTAATACGTTGTTTTAGCAACGTTGCTTAATGTGTTACAGATAAAACAGTTATTTCATGGGTCATTAATGTGTTTAATGCATGGAACGTTCTATTAAAACAAGTCCTGATTATCGTTATGAACACGTTCACGCCGTTGTCATGGAGTCTGCAGAGCTGAGTTCTATAGGTGATCACCATTAGCCATTGGGGGAAACTAACAATTTTTCCTATAGACTGAATGATTACTTCAGTAATACTAATTTTTGGTCAAGTTATGGCCCCAACATATTTTTATCGTAAGTTAACAATAGAAAAGGCCCAACTTATGTAAGCAAAAAACTCCGTTTGAATGGGCTGGGACCTGTCTGTTCAAAGCCCAGATTATGAAACTGACACTGTATTAACTTTCAGCAGATATTTACTGAGCGCCTACTAAGTGCTATGATTTATTCCTAATAATTAGAGACTGATGATACTATTCACAAAATCGTTTCTTTGATTACCGGTGTCTCTTCCACGTGCTACCAAAATTCACAGTCTGATGACGGCTAATGGGTTCTTAGCGTCAAAAGTCAACTTGAATTTAGCTGTCACTATACCTTGACAACTGTGTGCTTGAAATGCCCAGGCCATGGACATTTTTATGAGCTGCCTTTCTTTGTGGAGCAAATAGCCTTGTAGTATACATAGCTTAAAATAAGAAGTCTTTATTCTTGGTCTGTAAATACCTACTGACCTTGAACATATGAATGTTGTCTTTAAGGCTGAGTTAGCTTTAGGGTCATCTAGTTAAGTAGGAGTATGTTCCAAACTTCTGCTAAACCCA